CCATGGACATGAGTCCCGCCTTGGATGGGTTCCTCGGGGTGGGGCAAGCGAGGAAGCGCTCTGGAGGAATGGTTATGAATTCTAGGGCTAGGCCGTGTCTGATGGTGTTTAACACCCAGGAGTCTGTAGTGGTGGCTTCCCATGCTTTGGTAAAGAGAGAAAGCTGGCCACCTATAGGAGAGGCCTCTCTGGAGTCACTTGGTCCATCTGAACAGACGGCCTCCGGAACCCCGAAAGGGCCATTTAGATTGTTAATGGGGTCTGGCCCTGGGGCTGGGCGGTCCTGAGGACAGTCCGGTCTGGAGGGAAAGGAGTGAGGGTTTCGAGAACAGTCCCAGGTAGGCCCTGAGCGAAAGGATTGCCTCCGAGAATATTGTTGTGATCTCCTGTCCGCACTCCTAGGAATGTGTGACAGCACCTTGTGTTTGTCCCTACCCTTGACCAGGTAAGGGTTGAGTACTTCACAGAAAAGATGTTCACCAGTGTAGGGAGCGGCTGCCAGACGCCACTTAGACTTCAGGTCAGCTCACCATTGTTTGAGCTAGAGAAGTCTGTGGGCCGATACATTTGTGGCTATGGCTCGTGATGCGTATCTGGCGGCATGAAGCGTAGCGTCCACCACGTATTCAGATGTTGTGACCAGCTTGCCCAGGGTCTGATGCGCTCGTACCTAGTCTTGGGGAATCATAGCCTGAAGTTCTCAAAGCCAGATGACAGAAGATCTGGCGAAGAAGGACAAGGATGTTGCTGCGTTCACTGACCATGCCGAGGCTTGGTAAGTCCTACGTAAAGAAAATTCAGACCTCCTGTCCTCCACTATCAGAGCCTCAGCCATGTCTCCTGGTACAGTGGGGAAGGAAAATAGAGAGGTTAAAGGTTTGTCGACAAGTGGCACCTCCAGGAGCGAAGGGAAAGAGGGTGCAATATTGATTAGTCTTTTCTCTGTCCCACTGGGAGTGGGAAAGTGCCAGGGGATGCCCACTGCTTTTGGACAGTGTTGCGGAAGAAAGGCGGGCAGGGAATATGTTTCTCCATGACCACCGGCTCAGAAAACAATGGGTTTGAGTCCTGGGTGTTGGGAGGGGCCGGTTGTGGCTCCTGGTCTGGGGCGATGTTGGCCAAAGTACACGCCTTCAGGAGCAATGACTTGAACAGCGACGGGTCAAAAAGACCAGTGAATGGGGAAGGATCCAGAGAAGCCTCCTCATCGTCTGACAGCTGCATGCCAGATGTCTCATAATCATCAGAACCCGACTCCCCGCACTGAGAAGATGTGTCCAAAGAGGTAAAGCAATGAAACAAAGGGGCCTCTGTCTGGGGGAACGTCATTGATGGAACCATAGGTTCCTAACGGGGCCTCTGGCCAAGGGAAGAAGCCATACCTTGGGCGAAAGCTTGAGCTATCAGCACCTGAAACTGATCAGGCCTCGGCCCCTGTTGCTCAATTGGGCAAAGCCCTGCTGCCATAGGTGTAAAGGTAGTTTCCGGCCCCAGGAGATGGGGAAACCCACCGAGCACCTGCTACCTGACTAGAGGGAGTGAGATCCATCTGTCCAGTTTCCCCGAGGAGACCAAGCCTGCGGGGCTAAGTTAGATGGCGCTAGCAGAGGCTCAAAAAATGACGCTTCTGGTAGAACGGGGGAAAACAAATCTGTCCCAGTTGAAGTCAGCCTCTGAGCCCTGGAGAACTCCCTCTCCAGCGCCTGATGTCTCCTCGTGGCCTCTCAGCTGCCTTGGAGGGCTTTTTGGTAGTCATAGCTTTGGCCTTAGCCTTAAGCCTCTTGGCCACCTCCAGCTTGGAGGACCTACGCTTTTTCTTGGTGGAGGACTGTGAAACGCCCTGTGCAGGCTGAGGTAACAACTTGTCTGCCATTATAGCCGAGATATTCCGGATGGGAAATATCTGAAACAGAAGCGGAGCAATAATAACCTGTCAGAATTTGGATAGACAGGGCTCTGACCAACGCTCTCAATGGCTGACAGTAGCAGATAGCGATCAAACGGCTATCTGTGGGGCCAAACATGGCGGCACAGTGCCTGCCTCAATCAGTGGACGGGTGGGCAGATTCCCTTAGGGATTAGGGTCTGCACAAAGAAGGTGGGGAAAAGGCAGTGGTGCCCAAAGGTGTGCCAGCCTCCTAACTACTAAGGTGCCAGAAGTTTCCCAAATAGGATACTCTCAGAGGAAAAAAAACCCGAGTTGCGCATTACACACACCCCTGCATGGGTGAGCAGAAATTCAGCAGGCCTCTGTGTCACCACAGGGGAGACAGCTCATAAAATGGCCACCATCCTACTTGCAGGGAGAAGGCTGCTGTCACATCAGGGAAGGTAGCTAACAAATGGCGTCTCTCTCTGGAATAAATAGAACTGAACAGATCCCCCCAAGGGGCCTGCAGCAATGTTCCTCCCTTTGAAGGGGCTACATGTTGAAGCAATTGCTCCCCTGAATCGAGCAAAGCCTTGGGGAATAAACTGTCCTTCGTGCGGTGCTCAAAATGGTGGCCGTGGGAAAAAGCGCCAAAATTAATGGCCCGTTCGAGCCAACAGGACCTGTCAGGTCCTGAGGGGAAATTAGCCTGGACCTGTGATGCTTGCTGCTGCTCAGAAATTCTGGCCGACACTCTCACAAAGTCAAAGTCAGTTCGGCCAAATTATCAGTGTGGTCTGTAATCCGACGCTAGCTGTCAAGGCCAGAGCGAGCAGGCAAGCGGCTGGGGTTGCGTCACGCCAGGGAAAGCCCGACCGAGCTCCGATGAGGCTTTTCGGCGTCTGGATCAGCTGGGGGTTGCGGAATGACCCATGTCAAGGGGAGAGCCCTCCCCAGTAGTCGAAATCGTCAGTGGAAGCCTGTTATGAGCTGGTAACTTCCACCCAATATTTGAATTATTTTGGAATAATTTGGAATGGGTCCGGAAATAAAACTAAATTTTTGTAACTCACAGTGATGATAGAGACTCCACGAGAAATTTTGACCTAGCTGCTAAGCCTAGAGGAGCCAAAAATAAAGCGGCCTGCTGAATGAAGGCTAAGTTGTAAATTGGGTCAGTCTAGCCCAGCAGGAGGCGTGGCAACTTTCTAGACCAGTGGTTCTCAACCTGTGGGTCGGGACCCCATTTGGGGTCGAACGACCATTTCACGGGGGTCGCCAAACCACGCTGTCCGCCATTTTTTCCCTTTTCCCTAGCTGTCCTACTCCCTCTTATTGGTGGCCACACCCACTTGGGGGTCACCACAACATGGGGAACTGTATTATGGGGTCACGGCATTAGAAAGGTTGAGAACCACTGTTCTAGACTTACTCTCATCTGAGCAGGAAGAATAAGACAACCCACTCGTGGATTCTCCATTCATCATGCTGGAGAAACACAACATTTCTTGGATGTTTATTTAAAGCAGGGATGTCAAACTTGCAACGTCATGTGATGTGTCGCGACTCTTTTTCCATTGCCAGCAATGGGGTGGGTGCGGTTTCAGATAATGTATCCGGCCTGCGGGCTGGCAGTTTGACACCCCTGATTTAAAGCATCCCGAGTTTTCACAAACCTGAAAAAAAGATGCCACATCTTTAAGGAATCTACTCTTAATGGATTTTTTATAGGCTGAAAAAATGATGCAATTGTTCAAACACAATTGCATATTTTTTTCAGCCTATAAAAAGTCAGGGTGCTTCAACAATAGAGATACTGAAGTAACACAAAGACTGAAGCAATTTTTGAAATAATTTTCAAGGCCTATTCAGGCCTGGAAACACCTCCCTTACTTTACTCATTTGAATGCATTGATTACAATTTGCTTTATTTTAATGAGGGATAAACCACCACTACTCCATCTCCAAAGAACTTTTTCTTTTGCTTCAATGTGCATTCCTTTCTTCCTTTCTTTTTTCCACACTTCCATGCTGGATGAGATGTTTAAAATAATTCTAAATACTCTAGCTAAGATCTAATAAAAATAAATAGAAAATGACCAGAAGCATAATCCTGCCACATACAATGTTTTACTTCTTTATGGAATATTCATGTTTATGGAATATTCATAAAATATATAAAAAAGATTTACCTGTTATCTGGAGACTGCAAGTACATAGCACTTGAAGACAAAAAAAACCCCCCCAAACAGTCTTGGCAGCTATTTCTGAGGAAATGCCACAGTAGTTTTCTTTTTATCATTATAAACACTATTAAAAATTGTAAAAACATTGATCTACAACCAGCCTCTGAACCCCCTCAGAATCCAAATCAACCACACAGTCAACCAGAAACAGCACCAACCCTCAAGCAACCCATGGAAGCCTCTTCCCCCCCCCAGCAGCTCACCTTCCAGTGACCCTGACCTGATGTAACTTCACCATCATAAGACTCTGATAACTCACACCATCCATCACAAGACCCTCAGTTGACACACCCACACCCGAAGCCCTTATAAACAGAACAGCACTGACACAGACATCCCCTAAATGATGCTGAAGATGTTACTTAGCCTGGTAATGAAACATTTGGAAACCAATCCACGAGCTCAGAGAAAGAACCTTCACCCTCATTGTAAATTCCATTAAGGAACTTTGAATAATTCAAAGGTTTTTTTAGTTATGCAATTCTAATAAAGTAATGTTTTTCCCTTGGAAAAAAAAAGAATGGCATAAAAACTATTTTTCAGTTGTTTTGATCACACAGTACAAACATAGGATCTGACAATTTATATAGAATACAGGCATCCAGATTTAAAATAATAAAACTATTCTATACTCTTCTAGTCTAATTCTGAAAAGATGAGTAGGTTGATACTGCCTCATAAAATTTCAGAAGTATTACTGTATATAAGTAATGTATATTGTACTTAAGGATTTTTAGCGACTAAAGCATACATTTCTGTATCTAGCACAAACAAAATTACACAATTTTTCAACATGAGATCTTAGTAATATGAAAATCATAAGAACTGAAGACAAAAAGAAAATGCTGATAGCCTACAAGAAATGAATAACTCCTACAAAATTGTTCTAATATCAAAATATAGCAATTTATTCAAGACACTGAACATGATCTCTTGATTTTCTTCTAGAACAAATGAATTACAACACACAGGGTGATTTGCTGAAAGAAAGTGAGTGCAGTTTGTGTGTGTGTCCGTGTAAGAGGGGATGGGTATAGAGAGAAAATGGACAAGGGGAGATGTTTGAATAGAATCTGTGAAATGCTGATATGAGAACCAAGCCTGGCTTCAAGTCTGACACAGACAATAACACTTCAGAAGCCAAAATTTAGACTATCAGTGAATGGATGAAAATATAATTTGGAGAGGAAAGAAAGAAGGAAAGAAAGAAAAACAAGGAAAAGAAAACTCTAAAAAAAAAAAAGTGCACATCTCTCAGGCCCAAAATTACAGTTTGTTTTAAAATTAAAAAAAAATAAAAATGCAATTTCTTATATTAAGAAAAAATCTTTGTGGAACTCTAGAAATATTAGGCATTTTGATGTGCGCCGTTGTGCCTACAGTAAAAAAATGACAAATGACAATAAAGGTTATTTTGATTCCACACACAGGAACCCTGTTTACCATATTAAAGATGTAGCATCCCATTAGTTCACATGTATCTCAATTAAGTCTAAATTCAAATAGAATGTCCAGAATTCTATTCCAGAATTGGTTATGGGGAGGATGTAATAATGTTTTATCATTTTTATATTACAATACATGTAGTCCTCTACTTACAATCATTTATTTAGCAACCGTTCAAAGTTACAATGGCACTGAAAAAAGTAACTTACTTCCTTGCACTTACAACTATCATAGCTTCCCTACTTCAGCCGCTTAGCAACTGGCATGTAGGATAGCAGTGTCTCGGGGTCAGCTGTCTTCTGACAAGCAAAGTCAATGGGGAAAGACAGATTCACTTAATGGCCATATGATTTACTTAACAACTGCAATGTTTCACTTAACAACTGTGGCAAAATATATTATTAGAACTACTTAACAACCGTCTTGCTTCGCAATGGAAATTCTAGTCCCAATTGTGATTGTAGTTTATTTATTATATTTATATGCCTCACTATCCAGTTATTGTTGATTTGAGGCCAGATTTAAAGTATTGTCTTAAACAGTAATATTATCCATGTCTACTTAGAAGTGAACTTCATTGAGTTTAATGCACTCAAGCCTGATATCTTGGGGTGAGATAGTATTTGAAAAATAAAAATAATGAAATCTGTTCTATCTGTCAAATATCTCTAGTATAATTTGTAAATAAATAGTATTTCAAAACAATATGAAATGTTAAGATTAATTCTTTCATAACTTTAAGTAAAGTCAAAATTATATTTAAAAGCAGAATTACGGTACACCAATGGTAATATTTTTCCTTTAAAAAGTCATGATTTTTTTTTTAAATAATTCAAACTATGTTTTGAAGTTTATAATTCTGAAATTATGTTTTAATATTCTGTCATGTTATAACATGTTAATGAATTTATGCCATGGAATATTTTACCACTTGCATGATTAATTTAAAGAATCTTTTAAAAATAAGTATAGGCTAAACTGTTCTTTAGCAAACTGCCTTTCATGAAGATTAAAAAAGATACTGCATCTTTAAATAGGGATTCATCTGAATTGTTCTTTAAAATGATGGAACACAATGCAATCCACATCTGTTAGATATTTTAAGTTTCTAAAATTGTATTTTAACATGAAAATACCAAGACTTTTATTTCTTATTCCAAAAATACACAGGGCTGTTTCTTTTTTAAAAAAGTAATATTTCTTCTGTAAAAAGCTTTCCCCGGCACCTAAAGCACTTAATACACAGTTTATTGAAAGTGCCCTTCAGATTTCAAGATCTGAAGCATGGAAACATTTAAAGAAGTAGCAGAATCAGAGGATAAACAAAAGAGGAAAAGATGGGGGGGGGGGGAAAGAAGGAAAACAGAAGCAGTCACTAATGATGCCCATCTGCCTTCTGCATTAACTAGGCACAAATGGAAAGGACAAAGCAAAAAGTTGGAGAAGAAAGAAAGAAAAAAAGAAAGAAAGAAAGAAAGAAAGAAAGAGAAAGAAAGAAAGAGAAAGAAAGAAAGAGAAAGACATTCAGTTTGAACCTATGCCTGTTATTGTCAAGGCTGTAACGTTCCAGCTGATAAGACAAAAAATCACTGAACAAATAAGAGTAGTCTAGGAAATACAAAGTGTTGGGATTACAAATTTGAATGTATCGTCAATACAAACTGGTTTTTGAATGTTCTTTGGGAGAGCAATTGTAGTGTCCAAACTAGAAAGAAAAACAATGCAATACCATATAGAGAAGATTTTTCCCCATTTTGGTTTATCAAAGCATTTTGCTTCATAGATTTTGTTTTCCTTTTAATTGTTATTGGTTTTGGCACAGCTTTTCTTCTTCTTTTTAGCAGCTGTCAAAATGAGATCTCAGCAATTTGACCCCAGCAAACAGCAGATTTAGCTGTTGATGGTCACCTTCTTGCTTGCCTCCAAAGGCTGTAGGTTCATAGTGGACAAATCCTGCCTCCCTAAGTGATTCTGTTTTAAAACCTTGGTGAAGTTTGATGGACAAAACATTGCAAGCTTCTTTTGCCTGGGAGAAATGCATTATTTGTTTAGTTCTGCTTCTGTTTCCCCCAGTTTTTGCCATTCTAGAGATATTAAACAGTATGTTCGAAGAGTGCTTCTACCTCCACACTGAATGCTGGTTCATTTGCAGTTTCTTCTAAAATATTTACTTTCGCAGGTCTAGAACACACACCTGGAACACAGAAAAAGGGTATTATGCACCAAATAAACTGTTAATATCTTGTGATATTTCTATTGTAATAGAATAATGAACAAGAGCATACTTGCATTTTTATAAAATGTTCACAATCACTCAGTTTTAAATTCTAACTATTGCAAAGACTCAGATGAAAGAAAGGCTAGCTGAAGAGTAAGGATTGGCTAAAATCAAATCCTTACTCAAATTTTGCAATGGTGCAAAAGCATACAATGAAAACAAGAAATATCTTTATTTGAACTTGGCCATTATAGGTAGTTCTTGACTTATGATTGGTACCTTAACAACTGTTCAAAATTAAGATGGCCTTGGAATAGTGCTTTATAGTCTGTAAAACACTTCCATTAATCACAAAATACTGCTTACCATGGATTGTCAAGCATCCCATAGTCATGTGATTGCCATTTGAAATCTTCCCTGCCAGCTTTCCTAGAAAATCAATGCTTTCCACTTGGATTTTACCAGTGAAAATTTTCAACACCAGAAATGAGACTTATGCGCGGCCTACACTAGGCTTTCCAGGCCTTGCCCAGAGCCATACTTTACTGCTGCCTCCCTGCTCTGGCACTGAAAATCCTTCCTACCAAAATCCAAGCATACTAAACTTCTACACAATTGACTGCTTAGCCTCATCTCCCAGCAAATAAACAGTTTGGGGTGGGTTGCTTTTTCCAAAACTTAGGCACTGATGCTGCATGGTGCAAAGGTCCCCACATGCGCTCTAGCCTGGTCAGCAGGAAATGCATGGCAGAACAAGAGGGAGCCCAAGAGTAAAAGTGACAAAGTGTGCTCCCTCTCCCTTCCTTTTCTCTGCCCCTTCCTCACTCTTTCTGTTGCTGTTGACAAATACCCACAGCTGCATACTTCCCAGAAAAAAAAAATATCTGGCCAAAAGAACCAATTTCCCCACCCTACCCAACCAGACACTCCTGAGAGCAAAGTTTAATACAAACTTTCCCAAAAGCCTACACAACCAGGAGCTCTATCTCCAGGATTTAAACCTCAGGCCTTTCCCCACTGTCTTTTCAAGGCAAAGAATTATTGGCTATCTATTAATGTTGGGGACACCTGTTCCACATTTAATGATTCTATTTAGGCTGAGATTTGTGGTTTCTTGTTTCCTCAGCTTCAGAACTAAATTTTACTCCCAACATATCTGAATAAATTGGTCTGGATTATGCCTTTTAGCAGAGATCACTAATGCATCATAGGAAGAAATACTTGCAGTGTTGAAATGCACTGATTTATGGATAACTAAAAAAACACCCAAAACTGAAAAAATCATACCGATCCATCTGAAGCACTGGCTCCCACTTTGTTTCCTCTAGCATTCCAGCAGACTTCAAATATTCCACCAGTGCCTCTGTAGCTATGTACTAGAGTCCCACTCTATGAATAAATAGAACACCTTCATTCAGGGGATACATGTACACCATTTTGTTTGATATCATAACACGTACATTTCTGCAAATAATGCTTGCATTAGTTTTGCCTATAGATTATGGAGCAATAACTTGATCATTTGCATTTGCATATCCATGTTCCAAATGGGTAACTATATCTTTATGCCATTAATCTTTTGAAAAAGGTTGGACTGTTTTTTTCTTTTGTGTAAAGACAGATGCAAAAAAGTGAGTTAAGCAGTTCTGCTTTTTCCCTGTTGCTCGTCATCTTGTTACCATTTTCTTCCATTAATGGACCAATTGTTTCCTTGACTTTTTTCTTGTTTTTTACATGCTGAAAGAAACTTTTTTTTGTTATTTTTTACTTTTGTTGAAGCCTTGGCTCAATTTGAGCCTTAGCTTTCCTGTCTTCATCTTTGCAGGCTTGGGATATTTGCTGATATTGTGCCTTAATTATGTGCCCCTCTTTCCACTTTTTATATTTATCAGAGTCCTTTCAATTTATCAGAGTTCTTTGTGCAGCTGGTTTCTTTTGAGAGCTGTTATTTTTCTTCTTCATTGGAACTGTGCTATACTGGGCTTTTATAATCTCACTTTTCAAAATTCCCCAAGCTTCTTGGATTGTTTTCCCCTTGAGGATTCTCATCCATGGAATCTTCCCAAGTTCTCTTTAAGTTAATTGAAATCAGCTCTCTTAAAATTCAAAACTCTAGTTTGACTTTGTTCTATTGCTTGGGCTTGCATAATATTGAGTTCCAATATTGCATGATCACTCGTCCCCAAGGTTCCTATAACTTCAACACCTCCTATAATTTCATCTGTTAGTGAGAATTAAGTCCATTATGGCTGACCCCCTAGTTCCCTTCTCTATTTTTGGGGAGACAAAGTTGTCTGCTAGGTTTGTCAGGAAACTGTTTGATCTTCCACTTGGTGCAGTTTGTCTCCTTGTTTATGTCGAGATAGTTTAAGTCTCCCATTATTGTTGTGATGTACTTCCTACATACCTTAGTTAACTGACTAGCAAAAAGTTCATCTATTTTTTCTATTTGGTTGGGTGACATATAGTATACACCTATGGCAGTGTCATTTTCTCCCCTTTTATGTTGACTCAAATGCATTCAAGACATTTTTCATCATTATCTTGATAACACAGATATTTGTTAACTATTAACTTACTATTCAAGGTACTTGGCCTTTAACTAAGGGTACATATTGGGTGAATAACAAGTAAGGAGTCTACATAAAACTGAAAACTGAATTAAAAAAATAACTAAGAATGAAACTACTCTTAAAATGTAATTTTTCTTCTAATTTATATGACCTTATTCTAAGAGATCCAAACTACAACTGATAAAAGTTTCAGGCAGTATAAAAATGTTGAGCCTTGCCAAGAATTTAGCAACATTGGGAGAGTCACATCTATAACAGAACACATTGGTATTTTGAGTAATTTTTCTGGACTGATACAATTTCTTAATTAAGTTAACTTATCTTGAGTGTAGACTGCTATTCCTAGGAAGGAATACAGCCAACGTCATTACCAATAAAGTTGCCTTTGAGAATTTGACTGAGAATCAACATAAGAACAATCCTTTTGACAGATTAAAAAAGGCAACAATGTTAAATTAGGTTAGTTTTTGGACTAAATTCAAAACATGAAGTCTACCATAGCGAAAGACATACACACTAGAGATGAATATTTAAGGGTCTCCATTAAACTTGCTTTAAAGTTATTTTCAAACAATCCGTCTTGCTACTTGTTTCTGGACTATAAACATGACATTCTGTTGTTATTTTACATCATATAGTATATGTTATACAGTCTGAATCTAATGGCAGTTGGAGTTTAAAGCAGGGGTCCCCAACCCCCCGGTCTGTGGACCAGTACTGGGCCGCGGCATACCAGCAACCAGTCTGCACAAACAAGAAAGCCCCATCTGCGAGATGTAGGCAGCGCACAAAACCACGCCCCCTCTGGTCCATGAAAAAAACTCTCTCCACAGAACTGGTCGCTGGTACCCAAAAGATTGGGGATCTCTGGTCTAAAGCACATGGAAAGTACTAGGTTATCTACTTCTAATTAAGCTATTGAAAGAATACTGTTTATAATCTCTTTCAATTAATGAAAACATAAAGCTGAAGGAAAGGACTTACTAATTTTTTAAAGGGTATGATTTAAACAAACTTTAAAACTTTATTGCTGAAAATCATTTTGGAATAGGAATCCTGGTCATACATTTTACTATTCAACATAAGTAAGATCTGTTTACAGTGTACTATATACACACCTGCTCCTACAGATAGACACAAAACTACTAGTGACAGGAATATCCTTTTGTTAAGTCTATTAGATTCATAGGCCTCTGCCCTCCCCCCCATATGTATGTATGTATGTATGTATGTATGTATGTATATATGTATGTATATGTATATATATATTGTTAGAGAATTTTAATTTCTCTATTGGTAAAAAATAAATCAGAAGCTCTCACAGTTGACTGCATTTAGCTGATTCAAATAACTTTATATTTATATAAAAATATTTACGATACCATTCTTCTTTACAGCAACATAGCTTAATGAAGACTTCTTACAGAGACAAACCAGAGACAAAACCTTGAGACTGGAAATCCAGCTCCTAACTCAATACTCTTTTTGCACAGACTCAGTAGCACTTTCTTCACATTGGCTGACTGAGTTACCACATGACTCTTTCTGTTCATGAATATTCCAACATATATATATATGTGTGTGTGTGTGTGTGTGTGTGTGTGTGTGTGTATATATATATATATATATATATATATATATATATATATATATATATTAGTAAAAATAAGTTACAAACATATTTACTACAATTTAAAGAGCATGTTTAAACCTATATCTTAGTGCCATGATATAAAATTACCATACCTGGGTATTCCATATATGAACACATTTGTCGAAGGATCCACTTGCTAAATATTTTCCATCAGGACTAAAAGCTACACTGTAAACAGGTTCTTGATGTTTTGTTAATGTGTGAGTGCAGATACCTCTTTCTACATCCCACAACCGAACAGTAGAATCAAATGAAGCACTGAAGTATAAAGAGATAAAAACATTTTTTTTTCATTGAGGATATTGCTCATGTAAGTTGTTAAAACATTAGTATCAATATTAAAATAACCTATTGATCTTATACAATGTTCTCTGCCTTCCTATGCAGATATGTGCTTGGGCTTATCTCCCCATTCCATTGCTGATATAGAGATTTCCCAATGTAAAAAGTTCCTTGAATGACTATATCAGGGTCACAGCCCCATATTAGCTCAGTAGTCATAAGTAACCATAAATAGCCGGGAATGGGACAACTTGCCACAGCCAACTTGCCATGGGACAACTCTATGTGGAAGAATTTAACAATTCTATTTAATTATTTAAAATAAATAAAAAAATATTTTAATTTTTGTTGATCACATTTCATTCTGTCCCTCCTTTTGCATCCTTTCAACAATGATTCTATTCCACCATTTCTTTATTATTAGTGTAACTTTTGTCCAGCAATGTGTTGTCCTGTGGTGAGTTGGCCATGGCAAGTTGTCATAGATCCTAAATAGCATGTAGGTGGGCCATGAAACTTAATACAGATAAATAAGTAGGGTTGGAGGAAAAGGGATGAAGTAGGTTCTGCATCGTAGGAATTGCACAGGCTGCTAGAAGAAGAAAGCCTTTATTCTGAGCTCAGCACGAAAATATAGTTTTCTGTTCCTCCTCTGCCAGTGCTGACAATGCAAGGAACATTTTTCAAGACATGCTTTTGCTTCTAATATTCTATGAAGAATACCATAATTTTATAAATATGTAAACACTTAGTTAAATATAACTGAGAGTACAGAATGCTAAAGAGCTGTGAAGAGAAGCTGTGTTTCAAGAGCTTTGGTATGAAAATGGAAGACATTGCATTGTTTTGCTTTTACCTTGCCAACATAATGTTGCAGTTTGGGTTGCTGGTACCTGGTCCTGTTGGACTCCATTTGATAGTATAAATCTCTTTGTTATGTGCTTGAAGGTCATGTACACAAGTGTCTTGTTTCATACTCCAAATCTATATAAAGAATCAATTGAATGGAGATAAATAAAATCTATATTTAGAAATATTTTCTTCGTCTACGATGCAGATCACTATGAAAAAAAGCATGCAAAAGACTAGTAATTTCTATTTTCAGATGGTTTTAAAGACATTGCAAATCTTTTGAAAACTTTTACAAATAATATTTTATAAACCTCAATTCAAGTTCTTGAAAATACTACCGTATGCTAGGACCTCAGATTACCTTTAACGTCATATCATCTGAGCAGGATGCTAGAAGCATACCAGAAGGATCCCATTTAATTGCATTGACCTCATTCTGAAATAAAGGGTGTATTTTAAAATTAGTGTGTATAAACAGTGTTGTACTTTTTACAAACAAGCAAGCTACTTAAGCTGAATTTATTGGCACATCAAGTAAAAATACTCCATTTTTTAAACATGTAACGTTTCAGAAGTTTCTCAAACAGGGCAATAGACTGAAAGTTATTGAATCATTTTGCAAGCAAAAGTTTTCCATTGGTAGATAATTATTAATTATGCTTGATAAATATACATCAATATGATAAATCTTCAGTCAGTTAAACCTACAATACAATGGAAACTAATTGAATAAGAAAAATACAGATGGTGAGAGTCAGGAAGAGATTAAGGAAGTAAGATAAACCATATAGGCAAAAATAGTTGGGTCTGAGAAAGGAAGAGGGAAGTCATAAAATAGATAAATAGTTTTTTTAAAGGAAATGGCTAGCCAGGAAGGTTGAATGGAAAATAGGAAAATAAGCTGAATAAGATAAGAAGAGAGGCACATTGAATTGAAAAGCAGGAAAAGAACTTATTGTTTAAAATGGAGATATAAATATATACTAAGTTTAAAATAACCATTTACATGTCTATGTGAATATGATTTAGTATGTTTATCAGGAAATGTGTCTAGGTGGACGGAAAGACTGTAACCTTATACTACCTCAGCCAATGGGGAAAGAGGAGGGCTGTAGCGGCCGGTGATAGGGATGAATAAAAGAAGGAGATATTTGGGGTTAAAACTTTGGAGAGAACCAAGCTTTGATAACTTCTCTCCCCGCTTATTGCAATAAACGAAACAAAAGGCCTTCACTGTGTCTTGGCTGGTTATTGGTCAGGCGAGCTTGCCTCTGGTCACGAAGGAAAGTAGCCAGAAGCACATAACAGCCTTGGGGGCTCCTCCGGGATTTGCATCCGTTCCATCTTTGGCAGCCGGGGATATTCGAAAGGGGAGTGCGCACCTGGGTAAGTTTTTTCCAAGCCCTAAAGGTCGGATTGCCCCTGCTCAAACAAGGAGGAATTGGAGATCCCGAGACGGAAAGCCAGAACCCAGTGAAAACCTAAGGGAAAGTCGGCCGACCTAAGGAAGGACTTCAACTCAGCCTGACAGGTAAGATACCAGAGGGGTATCTATATATCAGAGGGTGTTAATGGGCAATAAGAGTTTGAAGAGGAGGGACGCCTCCCCGGCCAGTGTGCCAGCCAATAAGGAAAAAGAGGAAAGGTATTTACATTTTGGAATGAACCCCCTTAGGGAGATGGGAATCCCTTAGGGAGAATGTTGGAGTGTTTTAAGTCAATGCTTTAAACAAGGCATTTGAACAAAGGAAGGATGATACATTACAGTATATATTTGGCCTAAGTACATGTTTGGCCAGCCAATAAATTAAATTGGGCTTCTCAGCTTAGCTTAGAGCGATGGGGAATGGATAGGCAGTGGTTAAAGTCTATCAGAAACACTCCTTGCATTTCCCCACTGCCTGGAGAACAAGCTACAAGTGCCCTAAAAGAGTAAAAGTGGAAAGGTCTGGAAATTATGTTTAATGGTCTCTGTGTTTGGGGATTGTATTGACTCATTTCTAAAGACCTGGGGGAGGGGAGGGAGAGACCCTCTAACAGTAATATACAAAACAACAAGGCCTTATTCCAAAAGGAAAATTTGGGAGATGGAGCTCATTGGCTTTGAAAAAGCTTCTTGAAAATAAGAATGGTTGTTTTGCCTGGGGTGAAGCATTTGGAATTTTTTGTGTCTGATGTAAAAGCAAGAAAGGGTGAAGAAGGGTAGTTTCTTAGTAATTAGAAGGACAATGGAAGGTGTTAAAAGAATGGAAATAATCAGATGGAAGAGAGGGAAAGAGAGAGAGAGAGAAAGAAAGGAGCTGTGTGAAGTTTTATTCCTGGCCAGGATGAAAGGCGAGAACTCTGATCTGCTATTTTGTGTGAAAGAGTTAAGTAGAAAGCTATGTATTTCTTGAGGTTCCTATAGTTTGGAAGGTAACAAGAGAGGAGAAAACCTCTCTCCAAAGGGGGGGGGAATTGTCCCCCCTAACAGCTTTTGAAATCAGGCAATCTAGAAGAAATTTTTTTAGGACCAATGGAAAGCATAGGAAGGTATTAGGGTAGAAATGCAGAAATTAGACAGATGGAAAACTAAAACAATAGAAGATTTATTAGTGGTAAAAGAGGCTCAGAAAGTACATGCGAAGTGAGAAGAGGAGAGAGATAAACATAAGATAAGATAAAAATCATGACTCAATTATTGCAAACAGGCCAGCAAAGAGGATGGGGAAGAGTAATTAGGAAAGGCAGGCTGGGGGTGAGGACAACCAGTTGGCACCAGGGGATATAAATCTCTAGGAGAAAATTTTTCCCCAGTCCTTAAATAAATAAATAAATAAATAAATGTGCCTTTTGTAAGGAGGAAGGACACTGGGAAAATGAGTACGGTACCTTAAGAGGAAGGAGGGGGAAGAACTAGCACATTTGGTGAATTTTGAGGATTAGGGGTGTCAGGGTTCTAATCTGTTTTCTGGTTCAGCTTTTTAGGAACCCCTGATAAACCTTAAAGGTTGGATCCCTGGAGGAGGAAAGGGTGTACTTGATGGATTCTGGACCACCAGATTTACCCTGAACTTTTACCTCCAGGAATGCAAATTGGGAAAGGGAAGATTAAGGATCAGGGAATTATGGACATGTAGTAGAAACAACAATATTTAAATCTGCTATGGTCCAGACAGTAGTAAAAGGACCTGAACTTTGTATTGGTTAAAAGGAGCTGTAATTTGGCCAGGAGGTACTTAATTGGTAAATTGGGGGTTGTTATTATGGGGAATGAAAGAGAAATAATTGTAAATATTATGACCTTGAGTGAGGAAGCTCAAGGAAAAGTGGACCCTCTTATATGGGCCCAAGAGGGCAATAGAAGAGGGGTACTCATGGATCCTTTAAAGGTGACTTTAAAGCACCCTGGTGAAGTAATTCACCAGATACAGTATAACATTACATTGGAAGGAAGAATGGGTTTAAAACCTATGGTGGAAGGGCTATTGAAGGGGGGTGAAATTTTTGAGCAATCCTTTTAAACATGTTTAGTTTGTTACTTTTTTAACCCAAGAATTTCTGTCTTGGAGAAGTAAGAGATGCAAAAAAAAAAAAAAGAAGAAGAAGAAGAAGAAAAAAAGGGGAGGAGGCAGTTTCTGTCTGCATGTTTATTTGTGTGTATGTGTGTTTTTAAAGAACAGAAATTGGGTAAAATTTCCTGACTGTAAGGATAATTAATCAGTGGGATAATTTTCTCCAGAAACTGTGGATGCTTAATTATTGGAGGTTTTTGGGAGGAGGTTAGAAATTGATAGGGTCTGAAATGGATAGAGTTTCCTGTTTCAGTAAGGGGTTGGATTAGAGGACCTCTAATGTCCCATCCAACTCTGATATTCTGTTTTTGTATGTGTGGCATGCTTCAGTGATTTTCCTTTGCATTTTAGTTTGGATTTATCCTTAATAATGCATTTGAGGGTATTCTTGTCAAAGGAACAATCTTATGATGTTTTATTTAACATCTGATAAATATGTATCTTTGGAACTCCTTGCTACTGCAGAAAAGATGATTAATTGCTGCATACTGTGTGTGTCCAATTTGTTTTCCTTTTCCTTGGAGCCAAGGAGGGGGAGGGAAATCTTTATAGAAAACCAATTTGGTTTCAGGGTTATAGCCACAGGCTGCAAGGCTGGATTTGAGTTCAAATCCTGCTTTAGCCATGAGGGTTGGCTGAGTGCTTTGGGGCTGGTTTATTTTTAGCCCTAGGAAGGAGGTTTTGGCAAGCCACTTTTGTAAATGTTATGGCAATTTTCCTCCTGAGGGCTGTTTCAAGCAAAAGTTTTGTATAAATTTTTACTCTGTCTGGTTTGGTGAGTGGGGGAAGGGGGAGACAATCTTTTGTCTTCTTAGCTATCCTGGTGTTCTTTGATGTGCTGCCACAAGAGTGATTTGAATGTTATTTGCCTGAGACAAAAGGCATTCCAGAAATGTTGGCCCAATGCTAATTGGTGAGCCTATGTGCTTTACCTTTTAAAATCCTGAATGTGTTATTTACAATAAGTTTATTGAGTTATATTTTTGTAACATGGTATCTAATCAGGGTGAAAGGGGGAGGAGAAAGAAAAATGTGACAATTTTTGATAGAGCTTCCATGGACAAGTGTAGTCTATCTGATACAGGACAAATGGTTTTTTTTTTCTTTCTTTCTTTTCTTTCCTCCACTTTTAAGATGTGGAAGCAAATACATTTTTATGTAGCTTCCCAATTTTGTAAGATCTTATTCTGGGAATTATAAAGAAATGGGAAAGCAACTTTTTGGCAGAAGAAAGGATTGAGGGTGTTTAGCAAATAAAGCCCAATTGGTATGAAAGGAGGTAAAATATCTAGAATATATTATAGTTGAAGGGGAAAGGAAAATAGATAGTAAAAGGATTAAGGATATAGTAGATTTATAATTACCAAACAACAAAAATGGTCTTAAGGGGATTCTGTGGTTATCACAAGGTACTGCAAGAATGGTGATCTAAAAACTATATGAGGGGAAATATTGGGGAATTAAAGCATAGGTAGAAATGTATTTGAAATTCTATGCTACCCTTGGAATTTATGGGATAGCCCAAAGGGCTACAGAGGGATGTTTGATATGTAAAAGGGTTAATAAAGGGTTAAGGCTCCCAAAGGAGGGAGACAAATAGCTAAATGTAGAACAAGTACTGGGGTCTCTGTCTTCTCTTTGACAGGAAGGCTTGGTGGCGCAAACAACTCCTTTGGAATTTCCAGTCCATAAGATCCAGCTGGGACAGTGGGTGCTGAATCGTGAATGGAAGGAGGAACTTCTACAACCAAAGAAGGGAAGTTCCTTATATTATATCTGCTGTCCGGAGGGCTGAGAAGGGTTGGACTCACTACACATGAGCAAAGGTGGTGACTGGACCTGAAAGAGGGTGGACGGTTATTCCAGGACAAGGACTGAAAGCCACGTTTAAAAGGACTTGAATGGGTAGTGGACCAGAACCCCTATCTATTTTGAATATCTCTATTAGAATTTCAGGTGACCCCAGACGAAGAACAAAGATGTTGGTGGTGACTCATCAGAGAAGTAAAAGTTGTTTGTTACAAATAAAATGAATAACTAAGTCAGAAGTCATACCATTAGAAACTGAAAATGTAGAATTGTACATTGTAAGAATTAGGTGATAGATGTGCTACCTCTGTAATAGCTAGTGATTATTGTTATTGTTATTGTTTTAATTGTGGATCAATTTGTGGGTGTGAAATACTGTGTAATAATCATGAAGGGTGGATTCTACTTCTAATATTACTGAAGACAACACACCAGAACAGCCTGGGAAATAAAGGTAAAAATTTGTTTGTGGGATTTAAAGGTAGCTGACAATCATGAAGCAGTGATGGACATTGCAAAAGGAATCAGGAATGTGACCAAAGCTCCTGAACAAAAGTATGAAAATATGTGGGGTGATTGGAGTTGGTTAACAAATTGGCTTCCCAATTTTGAATGGTTAAAACAAATATTTATAGGACTAGTGTTTATAGTTGTGATAGGTATTATGTGTTGTGTCTGTCTCCAATGTTTACCCTGCTGTATTTCATTTTGCACCAAAACGTTGGGGTCAGTAGCGAAAAACATCTCTGGAGAAGATGTACAGATTCAATTTATGTTATCGAATAAAAATGAAGATTCATCAGAGTATACAGAAATACAGGGAGGATTGATAAATATACATCAATATGATAAATCTTCAGTCAGTTAAACCTACAATACAATGGAAACTAGTTGAATAAGAAAAATACAGATGGTGAGAGTCAGGAAGAGATTAAGGAAGTAAGATAAACCATATAGGCAAAAATAGTTGGGTCTGAGAAAGGAAGAGGGAAGTCATAAAATAGATAAATAGTTTTTTTAAAGGAAATGGCTAGCCAGGAAGGTTGAATGGAAAATAGGAAAATAAGCTGAATAAGATAAGAAGAGAGGCACATTGAATTGAAAAGTAGGAAAAGAACTTATTGTTTAAAATGGAGATATAAATATATACTAAGTTTAAAATAACCATTTACATGTCTATGTGAATATGATTTAGTATGTTATCAGGAAATGTGTCTAGGCGGACGGAAAGACTGTAACCTCATACTACCTCAGCCAATGGGGAAAGAGGAGGGCTGTAGCGGCCGGTGATAGGGATGAATAAAAGAAGGAGATATTTTGGGTTAAAACTTTGGAGAGAACCAAGCTTTGATAGCTTCTGTGTCTTGGCTGGTTATTGGTCAGGAGAGCTTGCCTGTGGTCACGAAGGAAAGTAGCCAGAAGCACATAACATGCTGTTATAAGCAGATAAACAATTCAGATAGTCTTCAAGGTACGAACCTAATGGATCCTGGCCATTAGGCTCGTAAATCAAAAAAACTTGTCAAATGAATCAGACTAATTTTACAAATTTTTAAAATTAAATTCATTAATTAAATCAAATGAGTTGTTAAATGAACTAAGATCTGACTTACTAGTTCCTCCAATAGCTGCTCTGATGACTGAGCTCCGTTTCCCACCGGTTGCTGATCAGCTGTTTCTGGTGAGCTGCCTCAGGAACTAAATTGCCTCCAAGCAGGGCTTGCAGCCATTAGTTATTTTTTTTAAAAAAACAACTGAGGCTAGCCAGTTCAAGCGTCTTCAGCTGTCTCAGGGTGGGGTGGTGGTGGAGCCGTTGCTTTAAAAAAAAAAACCCACTTGCCAGCCTAAGAATCTCCAGCCAAGCACCCAGAGGGAGATGGGGGAAGGATTTGTAGAACTCTTGGCTTGCGATAGTAACAGAGATGGAAGGGACCTTGAGGCCATCTAGTCTAACCCAGTGCTCTGAGTACAGTATTTCTGATAAATGCCTATCCAGTCTCTTCTTAAAAGCTTCCAGTGATGGGGCACTCACAACTTCTGGAGGCAATTTAAATTTAAAACCTACAAACTACAGTAATATATGCTAATCTCAAAAATAAAAGTTCAATGCAAACGCAATAGTTTGCCAAGTACAGCACTTAAAAAGCAGAGCAGTTCACAAAAAGTTCCTGTTTGTTTGCAAGCACTATAGAGTAACATTTTTTTTTTTAAGAAAATACTTACAGAAGTAATTCTAGCACTGGAGCCCAGGCAGTAGCAGATTGCAGCAAAAGCAAAAACTGGTGCCGACTCTGCTCTTCTTTGGCCATGTGACCAGGGATTAAAAAAAAAAAAAAAACCTTCTGGCTTCTCATAGCACCCAATGGCCCAGGCCCCAGGCAAATCACAGAGTTAAAATATAAAATATAAAATACAGCAGAGACTGAATCCAAGTCACATGGCTACAGAGGCTTCTTTTTGGTCGTAATTTTGAATTTCTAATGTAAGTACCCTTTCTGAATTAATTAGTTTTTGTGAAAACTTGCTAAATAAATGTTTGTACCTGGGGGATTACCTGTACATTTCTTGTTTTGCAACTTTTTACTTCTTCTGTTAAACATTATAAATCTAAATTTAGAGAGAATTCAATCTGTTGTCCAGTTATTATCATTTTGTCCAAGACACCCCTTTAAAATGTCAAGATTTTATGCATTCCCACTGCAAATGGAAGCAAGTTATAATCACTACAGAGTTCATAATTTTGTGTGAGATGCTTATAGAAGTTAAATGTCAATGAATTAACATCTTAAGCATTATTATTACCACATTATCATTTCATGGGTATTTTGTCTGTTTTATAAATAAATAGCCATCAGGGATGCATGGAAAATTAAAAATTGGAATTAGAAGTTGCCTCATGTAAGAGCAAAAGCTGTTATATCTGCTGTTGTGTTAACGCACAGGTCGGCAACCTGCGGCTCCGGAGCCGCATGCGGCTCTTTGAGCCTTCCCCCGTGGCTCCCAGCCTCCTCTGCCTTTGCAGAGAGAGACAGAGACAGAGAGAGGCAATTGTGCTTCCCTGCTTCTCTCTCTCTCTCTCTCTGTGTGTGTGTGTGTGTGTGTGTGTTTGTGTGTGTGTGTGTGTGTCTGTGTGTATGTGTAAAAGAGAGTGCACTCACAGTATTCTCCGAGGAGCTGAAAAGCTTACTGGGCGGAGTTCCTCCCTTTGCTGCATCTCTGCAGGAAGCAGGAAGGGCAGGAGAGAGCTAGCTAGCCCAGCTAGGCTGACTCAGGAATTCTGGGAGTTGAAGTCCATGAGTCATAAAAGAGAGAGGTTGCTTATTGGACAACAGCTTGAAGCTTGCCAGGTGAGCAGCAGATGGGGGGGGGGGAGAAAGAGAGAGAGAGAAAGAGAGAGAGAGGGAGGGAGAGAGAGAGGAAAGAGAGAGAGAGAGAAAGAAAGAGAGCGGGGGAAGAGGAGTGGCAGACCAAGGGCAGATAGAGAGGGAGGGACAGAGAGACAGAGAGAGAGAGAGACCCTTTTGACATCTAAAATGAAGATAACACTGCATATATCCTTTTTTTACGTGTGTGTGTGTGTGTGTGTGTGTGTGTATACACATACATATATACATATACATATACATATATACACACACACACATACATACACACACACACACACACACCTATAATAAAGGTAAAAAAGGATATATGCAGTGTTATCTTCATTTTAGATATCAAAAGGGTTTTGCGGCTCCCAGTGTTTTGTTTTTGGTGGGAAACGGGTCCAAGTGGCTCTTTAAGTGTTTTGGGTTGCCTACCCCTGTGTTAACGTAATATAGAGAGACTTTATATTAATTACAATAATGAGCCTAAATATTTTTTAAAAACTCAAAATTAATTTAATGTATATTATTATAAATTACAATTTAAAATCATACATTTTCTGGATTTGCTATTTAATTGATAAATTTTCTTGCATTCTCCCAATATTACAATTAGCTACCTTTTTTTACAGATCTCTTCATACATTAAAAACAATACCTATGGGTTTTAAATAATCTCTGGAGAAAGTGTTGCATATTAATTCAGACCACTGGTTCACTATCATGAATTCTATTTAATGTTTTAATAAAAATAGCATTATTATTTTTCTAAAGCAAAACTATAAAAACAAATAAACATTAATTCCACTATATTCTTATTAATATCAATGAATTTACTGCCAAGAATACACAAGATTAAATTTAAGACTAAAATCCCTAATGTGTTATCTAATTTTGAAGTAGAAAGAAAGGAGGCAAAATCAGCTGTGGTAATAATGGAACTTTCCTTCTTGGCTTTCTCTTAATAGACATTACCACTTTGTCAACTAATTTGTGAATGAGGAAACTCCCATTTCAGAGCAATATGCTTACTATTTTGCATGAACACATAAATATATTCTCAAAATTCAATATATGCCCGCCAGCTAAATGAACTAGAAAGCTGTTGATTTAAGAATATAGTATTCTTGAAATATTGATAAAGTCTGTTTTAACTACAATGTGTTAAGATTATTGCTTAATTTTACCGTGTGGCCTTGAAAGGTTTTGACTGGACGATCGCAACCTAGTCTGCATACATGTATGCACATATCAGTGCTGCATGATGCAAAGGTAGTATTGTTTTGCCAGTCTACATCCAGGGCTGGGGCTGTGTAAGGAGGACAGAAAAGGACCATTAGGAAATTCAGCCAGGAAACAAATAACCTTTGGAACTGTTAATTTAATTACATGTAGCATCCTAACACTATACTATTATTCTGATAGTATGACCAACATTCTGATAATATGACCAACATTATTCTGATAATATGACTGCTATTTACAATACAATAAAACTCTTATGCACAATAGAATAAAACTCTTTACAATAGAATAAAACTCTCGATGCCACAGCATGCAGTGGGACTAGTTTCCACTCTAATGACATCGCCATACAAATAACATACATTAAAGTATTGTATGACAGTTTTGCTGAAAACCAGCATTTACTTCTGGTTTTCAGCAAAACCAACTGCTAGTGAACCATTGGTTCATTTAACAACTGCAGTGTACACTTAATGACTGTGATGTTCATTGACAACTATTGCAAAAAAATATAAAATTGGGTCAGTCTGCTGGGTGACCCAATTTATGTCCATCATAGTCATAGTTAAGGACTACCTATAGAAAAAAACTCCAAACAGACCTAAAAAGATTCCCACAGCATACTTTCTGAAACCCATAAAACACTATCAAAATAAATTAGATAATGTAGTTTTTACATATATGCCAGAATAAAGTTTTAGGAAACCAGAGGATTGACTTTCAGAACACTATCAATCTGATTTAAAACATGTGGCCCAGACTCTATACAAGATAATACAAGATGAAATCTTGACATAAAATGGACTCTGCATTTTAAATTTCTGAGACATCAAATATTCATGGCAATTTATATTGTTTGAATAAGTAAGATGAAAATGGAATAATTTATGCAATTTACATGATGATATTGTTTGATACCATTTATGTAAATTTATTTTATTGGTATCATAAGTATGTGACTGGGCTAAATCACTACAAAGATACTATCTCCTATGTAAAAGATAATTGAGAATAACAAATATTTCTCAGTGATTTAGTCTATCAATATACTTTATTGCAGACACGTCAAACACAAGGCTAGCAGAGGGCCCAGCTTTGGCCCACTGGGGCTGTCCCAGAAATGGCAAGGGACCGGCCCTAGCAGCCCTAGCCCTGGCCCAGCCCAACCTAGCTGAGCGCCCTGGCGCACACACAGGAAACAGTGAGCGCTTAGAGGCTGGTGGTGTGCAGTAGTAGCTGCAGCTCATTTGCCTCAGCCTGCCCCTCCCCTCCCCTCCCAGCCTAACCCCGTCATGCCTGGCCACACCCCGCTTTGCAGGGCTTTTTCTCATCCAGCTCTGCTTTGCACACCGCGCTGCACCTTTCTCGCTTGGGCCATGGCGTTCTGTAAGCCTAGCACACCCAGCCTGTGGGATGAAAGGCATGGAGATGTGACATGGGGTGGTACAAGCCGAGCATTGGCCGGCTTCCACTCGCCCTCTCCACCATGTGATAGGGCCAGAGAGGGGAACGCAGCAGTCATGCAGGGCCGGAGCCTGGAACTGCCGGTGGCCAGCAATGTGAAACTCTATGGTGGCTGGAGAGAAAGGGTGAGAAGGAGGAGAAAGCAGGAAGGATCTCTCTCTCTCTCTCTCTCTGTGTGTGTGTGTGTGTGTGTGTGTGAGAGAGAGAGACAGAGACAGAGAGAGACAGAGCAGGAGTGGAAGAGGAGGAAGCCGAGATGTTATAACAAAGGAGAGCTTCCCCCATTCTTCCACCCCTTCTCTCTTTTTTTACCTTCCTCCCATTCCGTTCAGGTGCAGCTGGAGGAAAAGGAGGAAAAAGCAGGAAGGATTTGTGTGTATATGTGTGTATGAGAGATAGAGAGAGAGGAGGGGAAGAGGAGGAGGAGGAGGAAGCCAAGGTGTTACAAAAAAGGGGAGCTTCCATCTTCCCCCGTTCTCTCTTTTTTTAACCTGCTCCGTTCAGGTGCAGCTGGAGGAAAAGGATGAGAAGGGGGAGAAAGCAGGAAGGGTTTCTCTCTCTCTCTCTCTCTCTCTCTCTCTCTCTGTGTGTGTGTGTGTGTGTGTGAGAGAGAGAGAGAGAGAGCGAGAGAGCGAGAGAGAGAGAGCCTGGGGAGCATTGCAGAGTAAGCAAACTTACAAAAAGGGAATCTCTCTCTCTCTGTCTCTCACACACATACACATGTGCTGCATCAGGAAGGTGGTGTGCAGGCAGGTGAGAGAGCAAACTCGCAGATTGACTTTGTGGTCTATTCTTGCCTCCTCCTCTCCCTAAAATCCAGGCAATAATAGAACTCTTTGGATTGAATGGGAAGTTAAGAGGAATTGGTGTGAGTTGAAATTAAAAGGCCGAGTCAATTCCCCCCACCCCCAATTATTTTGTCAGAGACGTGGAAAGTGTTTCTTGCTCCTACTTCCCCTCATCTGCTCTTTTATAATTTAATCCAGCCTTACCCAAACTAATATATTTTGGGTGTCATGGACCACAGTTCCAAGGAAGACATGGAGGGGGTGTCTGTGGCTTCGGAGGACTGTAGGGAGGAGCAGGCTGAGGCAGGCCAGGGCCCTTCAGATTTAGAACAGGGAAGACGAGGAGCAAGGCTGATCCTACAGCAAGGATAGCAGAGAGGAGGAGAGGAAGCAGGCTCGGGAGGAGAGTGTCCCGCCCCACTCCACAAGGTACACCTGGGGATTAGGATTTAAGGAGATGCTGTGGGGGTGGGGCATTTGCCAGGAACAAATGTGGAATCTTGAGATAGTGTGACTTGTGCTTTTGTAACCTGGACACTTTATATTCCGGACCAGTTTGTTTCCTGCTGCATGACCACAGACTACATTCTTGATCTCTCCTTGCAGTCTGCAGTTCGCAGGCAAGCTGAGTGTTAAAAGGACTCTATGTTTTCTTGTTATCTGTCTTGCCTTGAGAACAGTGTAAACTTCCCTGACTGTTTTGTTTGAACTCGTGCCAGCATATGTGGGGGCTTTTGGGTGAACATTGGCAGTGATTAAAAAGACTATTGCTCTTGCCAGCTGATTGCTTTACCTCTGTTCGGGGACCTGGGTCATCACAGTTCCCATTATCCTGTGGCTATGCTGGCTAGAAATGCAATGCCTTATTCTCTCTGCAGTACGCACCTAGGAGGCAGTAGGTCTGTGGGATTTAGATGTAACATTTGTTACTTCTGTATAATTTATTAAATCAACATCTAATTTGAAATTAAAAGTTTCTGAGAAATCCAGGGTGGTTTACAAGAAAACTGTCAAAGACAACTATTCTAAAGCATCACTAGCACTGCTTTAAACAATATTAAAAGTGTGTATTTTAAGAAAGAAAAATATTAGTAGTAATTTACTTAGTGCTGTTTGACCATAAAATGTGTTGTTTTCTACATATGCCTGGCTGAACAGTGTGTTTGGAGTTGCCTCTAAATGGGTGAGGGATGCAATGTTCATATTTTCCTGGGAGAAAGTTCTATAATGGGAGTGCTGTCTCTGAGAAGGCTCTGCTTGTGGCCACTGTTCTATAAACCAAACCAGGGGGACCATCTGGTCTAAATGGATGGTAAACATAGATGATTAGGGGGCTGGAGGCTAAAACATATGTGGGAATTGGGTATGTCTAGCTTAGTGAAAAGGACTAGGGGTCGTGACATGATAGCAGTATTCCAATATTTGATGGGCTGCCACAGAGAAGAAGAGGTCAACCTATTTTCCAAAGCATCAGAAGGCAAATAATAGATGGAAACTAATCAAGAAGAAAACCAGCCTAGAACTAAGGACTTGTGAAAACAACTAACCAGTGAAAAGACTTGCCTTCAGAAGTTGTGGATGCTCCATTACTGAGGCTTTTCAGTAGAGATTGGATATTCCATTGTCTGGAATGGTATAGGTTCCCTGCTTGAGCAGGGGCTTGGACTAAAGACCTCAAAGGTCTCTTTCAACTCTTTTTCTTTGAGAGAAATGCTGCCAGTGCTGGGCACAGAGAGAAGGAGGGAGGGAAGGAAGAAAGGAAGGAAGGAAGGAAGGAAGGAAGGAAGGAAGGAAGGAAGGAAGGAAGGAAGGAAGGAAGGAAGGAAGGGAGGGAGGGAAACAGAAAGGGAAGGAAAGAAGGAAGGAGATAGGAATGAAAAGGAGGGAGGCAGGGAGGGAGGGAGGGAGAGCGGGAAGGAGGAAGGAAGGGAGGGAGATTGGAATAAGAGGGAGGGAGGGTCTGAGGGAAGTCCTGCCTTAGCACTTGGCCACCAGCAGCCCTGTTGCCCTTTCGCCATCCCCTGGTGGTCTCCCATCCTATTGCTGAGGATGCTTTGGTTACAAAGCCAGGTCTCCTCACATGGAGAGGGACTGGGCCTCCCTCTGACCCACACACTTTGTTCTCCTGCACCCACCATGGGCAACATGGTCAAGGAGAGGGAGCACAGCAGCAGCAGCAGCCTTGAGGAGGAGGTAAGCCAGCTGGGCGCCCCCTCAGGGAAGTGCGGCTAGTCTAGGCAGGGCTATGGGGTCCTGGTGCCAGTCTGGGCGCTTGACCTCCACTGCCCAGGGCTCCGGGCAGTCCGTGTCACCGTCCAGGGGCCCCGTGCACAACCTGAGGCTCAGTGAGGTTCCTGCAGTGGATCATGCCCCGGTGGTCGCCCTGGTCCCACCCCCTTCTGCCAGAGACCTTCAGATCTGCCCCCGTCCTACCCAGGCCCGCACAGGTGCCCCTGATGTGAGTGATATCGAGCTGGCCATGCACACCCAGTAGGTCACGCCCATACCAGCCATGCCCACCCGGCCCCCTGATGGCAACCACAGTGCTGATGCGGCCCTCAATGAAATTGAGTTTGACACCCCTGCTTTATTGTATGGCAAAATTTTACTCTCAAAGTTATCTAACAAAATTTATCTCACTTCTGTCTTTTTTTCAGACTAATGTAATCAAGCAAACTAGGATGTAATAGCCTAAATCTATTTAATACACTAGTCACTTGTGACACATAATTGATTATGACAAAGTAAGTGTTTTTTGCCATTTGTTAAATATAGCAAGCATAAAAAACAGTTGAACTTTAATTACCTGAGTGGAAAGGAAACTGTTGTTTAGCTTCACCTGTATGAGCATCCCAAATTATTGTTGTCTAGGTAGAGAAGGAAGAGCAAATGGAAGAAAAAAGACAGATGTCAATCAGCATTATCAGTTTTAAGGTCAAAACAATCCACAATTCTTATAACTTAAAATAGATAATATGGGGTCTTCAACAGATAAAAAATGTGGCCATGTATAAATTGAACAAGAGTTGATCATTGTTAGACAATAATTGACTACTGTATTGTGCATATAGGGAAATGAAGAGTATGATGGCACCACCATCTGCTAAATACAGAAATAGTAGATAAAAAAGATAACTAGATAATTGATACTTGAAAATTATAGAATTCAGCACTTACTTTATCAACACCTGCACTTAAAATGTAATTTCCCTTTTTGTTCCACTTTAGAGCAAAGATGGGCCCTTTATGTTGCCCTAAGGTGCTTGCAAGATTTCCTGTGATGAATTAAAAATAAAGTCAATGTTTTAAATAATCTGAACACTGAAATAAATTTAGGATCACACACACAAAAAATCTAATGATCTAGGAAAAAATGTCTTCAGTCTTACCATCTTCTGTCCATATTCTTGCAAAGCCATCATATGATCCAGTAGCCAAGAGTGTTCCGTCACTCTGTAAAATGTGCAAAAAGGAGGGAGTTTTTCTATATGAGGCCCAAATCAGTTATAATTCAATAATTCAACTCTGTTTTTTAGTATGAAAAAGCATATTCTTTCATGACAAAGAATAAATATCAATACCATCTTTTATCAAAAATTAATGGCTAGTTTGACAACTAGAAACAAGCCTGCTAATGCAGTATAGTGTTATCAGAATTGGATAAGGAGCCTTGGTGACACAGTGGTTAGAATGCAGTATTGCAAGCAAATTCTGCCCTCGATCCTGACAGGGCTCAAGGTTGATTCAGCCTTCCATCCTTCCGAGGTCGGTAAAATGAGGACCCAGATTGTTGGGGGCAATATGCTGACATTGCAAACCACCCATAGTGAAAAGCACTATGGAGTGGATACAAGTCTAAATGCTATGCTACTGCTAGTGTTATCAGAATGATTTAGCTGACTTCTGGTTTCATTGCTGTGTCAAGGCGGGCTCAGGGAAACAGGACTCTGATTCCCATGCCCAATTTCTTTCTGGGGGTCCGAAAAGGACCAAAGGTCGCCCCATAGAGATGACGGACCAAGAGGGGACCCTTGTTGATTGTGGGAAGGTGGTAGCCAACCTGCTTGATCCAAAGATCTCTTGGGACCGGCAGGAGAAATCAGCCAGTCGGAAACTGCTGACCGCTGGAAGCAAAAGAGATTCTAAACAAGCGTAAACAACATTCTGGACCTGGGTGAAACTATTTTCTTTCTTCTACAATCATAAAACCTGTTCTGGAAAAAAGCATCCAAAAGTAACAAAATCCCCAGAACTAAAGGAAGGGGGGTTTTACTCCTTCCTCCAGAATAAAAGCTGCGCTTTTAAGTTTTCGTAGGGGAAAAAAGAGAGGTCTACAATATCATTATGGATATAACAGAGAGAAACAGAAGAAAGAAAAGTTTGGGGAGCTTTAATATTTTTAAACTTTTTTATATTTCTGTTGGAGAGTATCAGAGCTAAACTTTTTTTAAAGCTACTGGAAAATTACAAAATGGGCATCTGATGACATCTAATGGCAAACCTGTCATAAACCTTATCTATATTTTGTCCGGAGTGTTAGAGCTTGACGCCCAGACATAGTTTACAGTCTAAACCCTTTGATGTCCCTGACCTTCACAGTCCTGTGGATTATAGCTGAAAAAATAGAAGACTTTTGGGGGGCTGTTTTTCCCTACAAGATGGATTATAACTAAAAAATATAAACTACTTCGAAGCCATCTGGCTTTTTTCGGATTATAAGTACCGTCTGAGCTGTGATTTCACAAGCTATTTAAAGATAGAGTGAGTGGTAAGGAATTGCTGCAAGCAAGACATTTTGGATTAAAACCTTGGCAGATGGGCAACATCAGACCTTGGTATAAAATCTATGCTTTCCTTTTTTTTCTTTTTCTCTTTTTTCCTTTTTATCTCTCCTATTTGTTTGGGGAGACTAGTGGATTACAAAATTTTAACGTTTGATTGGAGAACTTTTTATAGACAGTGGAAAGTGAAATATTGGAGATACTCCTTGGAGAAGGCCTATGGACTATCAACTTGAATAGTAGGTCTTGGTGGATTATAATTTTGGACTCTGAACAATCGTTCCTATAAGTGAGTCCTACCTATAGAAATGGACTATAAACTTTTTTTTATTTGCTCTTACCTCTTTGCTGAGAGAGCCTATTGACTTAGAGACTACAGATAAGAACTATAAAAGTTACCTAAGATAATTTTAAAAGATATATTGTGTTGAATATAATGCTAATGGCTTGGTTTAAGGCGGGCATTGGGAAAGTATTAGAGTTTGATAAAAGATTTTGGGAGTAGAAATAAAATGAGTGTTCTGAATTTAACTAAAACTGGTAAGAAAGCGCCCTCAGTCCCATTCTCTGCATCTGCAAGTCTGGTGTATCAGAACTCAATTGAACACTGCTTCAACAAGAAAAAGCTAGTAAGTTCCAGAAGAGTCATTCCATGTCAAATGGTCTGATTTCAGAAAAGCGCCCTGCTCGACCATCACGGATTTTGATGAAATTTTGTGTGAACATGCAGACATGTCCCCAATGAACATTGCTAAAGTGTTATGTTTGCTGATGCAATACTTGTGGAGATATGTCATTTGTATGACCCCATAAGCAGCCTTCTACTGGATGACTCTGAGGTTCCAGCAACTTTGAGATATAATATCTCTGGCAATATTTTATTGAGAGAAACAAAACTTGGCCATCTTGTACAACGTTTTGTGCTCTATTAAACAAAATAATGAAAACATTCTCATGAGCAATCTCCATCTAGATAATTTGTAGCAAAGTTGGCCGAAAATATTACGGCTCAGAAAAAGTTTAAAGTTTGGCTTTTTATATCTCTGGAAGGAAAGGTATGATAAACACAAAACTTTGCACATAATAATTTAGCAACACAAGGTTTTCGAATATAAAATTTCATTCTCCTACTGCTTTCCAATAGTTTACAAATTGAGTTAAAGTTGACATTTTTTGTAAAAATGCCAAAAATAGGGTATTTTTAGCCCGCTTTTACAAAAAAAGACCTTCTGGAAACTCTGTTAAATCATTCTCATTAGAAAGAGCATGTTTCAAAACCCCTGAAAAAGTAGGGTTGGTTTTTCATCGCTGACATATAAAGCCCTAAAAATAGGGACAAAGTTGAGGACATTGCTATGGCAATGTCACATGTATTCTATTATTTTTTTGTGTAACACCAGCCATGGGTGGGTTTCTTGGTTCAGGATCCCAAGCCTGTAGCTTGGTTTCTTCCTTGAGGTTCCAAAACCTTGTGTGGGTATCTGTCCGGTTCCCAAGCTGCCTAATCGTCAGGCTGATGGCTGTTGTTGCACGGCTATCAGGTATGCCCCCTATGGCGATGGGGTTGCTGGTTCAAGTGCCTGAACTGGTAGTGACAATGTCACCATGGACCAACACGATATAATAGTAGTAATGATGTCTATATAAAACAAACAAGACAAAAAAATAATAGAATACATGTGACATTGCCATATTGTCTCTATTTTTAGCGCTTTATACGTTAGCGATGAAGTTAAATGTTGGAACCTAGGCAATGTGTTGCTGATAAAATATTAAACACTTCTGATTATTAAAAAACTAATTAAAATATATATACAAAAAAAGAATAATTTAGCTAATATATAATTATTTTCATGAGGCATTTTAGCTGAACTGAAAGGATTTACTTTTAACATTTTATCTCAACAGAGTTTCCCCTCTTTGTTTCTCCTGATAACATATTCCTAATAAGAGCTTCATGAATTCCCTTTCCTCAACAAAAGTTGCTGGATAAAAATGCATACAACTGCATAAGATAATGCACTAAGTAAAAACCAATAATCTGGAAAAAAATATTTCTTCAAATAAAAAAAATCCATTCATTTGGTATATACTATTTGACAAAATAATGCTATGCCTTGAAAATCTCTGAATACTCATATGCTGCCTGTAAATACTGAAAGAGGACAACTGCTTAATTTTCTGCCAGTGTCAGGCCCCTCAAATCATTTTCGGGGCAGTGCCATTCTGTTGGGATGGGAAGGCTTTTCCTCTTTTGGGAATGGGGAGGTCGTGGGCTCTGTGATGTGTTTCTTTTGTTTTGTTCTCTAAACCTTTGATGTATCTCTTTGGGTGTGAAAGGGGGAAGGAATGTGCCTGGAGCCATCTGCCTTATTTCTGCTAGGCTGAGAAGAGGATGCAACAGCTGGGAACAAAGTTTTATCACTCCTTCAACTTCCAGTTCCCATAACAACTTCACACCTGTGGATTGGCTGGATTTGGATGGGGAAATTAGGCACCTGGGAGGGGTTTTGAAGAGAGGGGTTTAATGTAACATTTCATGCGTGAATTATTCAGATCTTGCCTAGCTTTCCTGTTTTCACTATCTCTCAATAAAAGTTCCTTTTGAAACAATACCAGTTTCAAGAGTTCTGCTTTATTGGGAATATTAACTGAGGCAGGACCTACATTAGGCAAGACCTGCAAAGTGGTTAACCAGGAGGGATTACATCTCTACCGTGGGGACCGTGCACATGAAGTCTCAACATGGCAGTGAGCAGGAGAAAGCTGAGTGATGGGCAGAGATCTCCATGAAGACTCACCCCGGGGAGAGCTCCTCTGAGTGGAGGAAGGAAGCCGCAGCCATGGAAGATCTCCAGAGGCCAAGGTGTGGGGAAAAAGGATGATTGGGAAGGGAGGACCCAGAGGGTCACTCTCACCCATGGCAGCAGGAAGCCGGGCTGGAAGCGCGAGATGTAGCTATTCTATGCCGATGACGAACCAAGCGAAGAGTTGAGCCTAGCTGACCAACTCCTGAAACACGTCATACACTTCATGGTGGAAGCCTTCTAGAACCTGAGGACGCAAGAAGCCAGTGGCTGCAGGGAAAAGAGCGAGGAACCAGTGAAGGAACTCATACACGGAGAAAGCAAGTCCCCCACCCCAGGAACCTCAGCTGACCCTGCAGCTTCTGCAGAAAGGGCAACATTTGTCCCAGCTCCCCACCTCGGGTTGTCCCAGTTGGGATAAATGCACAGAGGGCTGGCGGAAGGGGAGCCCCGCAGCCAGAGTGGAAGGCATCCCCCAGGTATCAAGTTCAATTGGGACCCTCAACAGTTGGGGTTCTTCCTCGCTCATGTCCTCACGTTCATGCAGGAGTACAGGTGAGAACTCCTCAGCGAGGGAGCCAGGGTCAGAGTTGTCACCCTAGCCCTGGAAGGTGCTGCTGCCAGATGCATGGTGACCCTGCACAACGCTAATGCTCCAGAGCTCCGGAACTTCAACCGTTTCATGGCAGTGCTGAGGCAGCATTTTGAAAACCCCTGGCTGATTGAAAGGTGTGAGACTGCATTAAGTCAATGAGGCAAGGCTGCTGCCTAGTAGCCGAATACACCAAAGAATTTTGGGACCTAGCCTGCTGTCTCAACTGGTTGGAAGACATCCAGGTGTGCTGTTTTAAAGATAGGCTCAACG